TTCCTTTTTCATTTACTTTACCTTTCATTACCTTTCCTTTTCATTTACTTTACCTTTCAATTACCTTTCCTTTTTCATTTACTTTACCTTTCATTACCTTTCCTTTTCATTTACCTTTTCATTTACCTTGCATTTCCTTTTCATTAGCTTTCATTACCCTACCTTCTGTTGCGTAAACGCGTGGCGCGAAATGCGCGTTGTCGTTTTTGCGATGGTGACGTTGATTCGATCCTTACGTTCTAGCTGCCGTGCAACAACTCCGAGAATTACTTGGGCAATCCACGTACTGCCCGAACGCCAGGGGGCGCTGGTGGGATCGCCTAGCGCTAAATCTCGACCAGCATCTGCGGACACCTGGAAAGGTAATCGAGTCTTCGATACGGGATTCGCATATCAACTACGGTGGTGAGATGGTAGTAGTGGTGTCGTATGGCATCAACATCACACGGTATTTTTATTCACACCTCCATAGCCCCATGGGCAATCCAGTTGCGAAATATTTTGCCAGATTCATTGATGGTGACATATATCACCTCCCGGTATCCTAGTCACTGGACACAAGCACGCACACACATACATACACACTAGGGGTGTAACGATTAACCGAGATTCAACTGTATCACGGTACATTCCGTTCGGTTCGGTTTTTGTTTTTTTTCTTTCCCGTTTCGGTTCTCGGTTCGGTTCCGGGAAATACATTTAACATTCAGGGGGTAGTCTTAGACTATACTAGTCTAATAGTCTATTTTGGTCAGATAGATCACTTTAATGAATAGTATTATGACTATTATCCGTGAATTGTATTACTTTATTGTCTTTTGGCCAATGAATAACACAATAAATGTATAATATTATTATATGTATTATTATTATTATTCAAAATGGAGAGAAAATTTGCCTATCTTCTCAGCATTTTTACTACTGAAAATAACCAAACCGAACCGAAGAGCAAAAACCGAAAACCGAACCGAAACAAAATGTATCGTTACACCCTTACTGGACAGTTTAGCACCAGATGATCAGTAGTCTGCTGGACATAACGCGGAATACACAGTACCCCGACCAAATAAAATATTCAAATTACTCTGACGAAATTCACTGTTTGAATATCGACTACGGCAGTAAGATGGTAAAAACTAACAAAAAAATACACAATATTCCGACCGAATAAAATAATATAATTTTTTTATATGAAATACACCAGGCTGAATGGTGGGCTGTCATTAGGTTGTTCTCTACTACGCATAGTTCGTATCGGTTAAAGTCGTCCCGTTAAAGTCTACTTTAGCGAAACTTGCTCTTTACTCAATTGCTCTATGCTACACAATGCTATACAATGCTACTACGCATAGTTCGTATCGGTTTAAATCGTCGCGTTAAAGTCTACTTCTGCGAAACTCGCTTTTTACTGAATAACTCTATGCTACACAATCCTACACAATGCTACACAATGCTACACAATGCTACTACACGTAGTTCATATTGGTTAAAGTCTAGCTATTTCAGCAAAACTTGCTCTTCACTGAATAACTCTATGCTACACAATGCTACTATATATGCTACATACTGCATACATACTACATAATACATATATATACTAATATACTACATGTAGTTAATATTGGTTAAAATCGTCCCGTTAAAGTCTATTTCAGCAAAACTCGCTCTTCACTGAATAACTCTATGCTACATACTGCATACATACTACATAATACATATATATACTAATATACTACATGTAGTTAATATTGGTTAAAATCGTCCCGTTAAAGTCTATTTCAGCAAAACTCGCTCTTCACTGAATAACTCTATGCTACATAGTGCATACATACT